GGATGCAGCAACACTTACTGGAACTTGGCCTTTGTTGTTCCCAATCATAATTTTATTGCAGTTAATTACACACTTCCTCGGTAGTAACTAGTCCAACCCTTATATGCATTGGTCTTCAATATCAGCCAAGTATACTTTGTGTCTATCCTTTAAGCACATGAGCTCAGTAGTTACCCATACTGGTCCCCACAACCTGGCATAATGTCCTGTTACACCACAGTGCTTCTGTATGGCATCTGGTATTCCTTTGTGATCTTGCACCTTGATACTCACAGGGGTTTGCTGAGATGCAGAATCTATGACAAAGTTGCACCTTTGTCCGTCCAGCCTTCCTGTTTCATAGGCGCTATGTGTGCTTGCCATTTTACACTTAGCTGTTGGGACTTTCACAATGGGGGTTGATGGGCGTCCCTCAGCTCCAACTACTACAGGTTTCCCGAAGCTGACTTATTGGTAGTATTCTTCATACACTGGCCCCTCATGTGTCCTTGCTCTCCACAGTTCCAACAACCTTTCTGGGTAGCAGCCTTTCCTGCTGTGGCATCTTCCCTGTGTTGAAGTTTCTAGCATTGAGCTTTCTTGTGCCCAGGTTTGTTACAGTGCCAGCAAAGTCCCTCAAACCTCTCTTAGAGCTGAACTTTTCTGGTCTTGAATTATGATTATTGTACCAGCCATGGCACCTCTGTGCTGGACTTAATGTACGATTCGAATTCAAGAGTTCTGGCCATTGCATCCTGCATGGTAGTGGAGTGTGCTTGCTTTACTTGTATCTTTAGTTGTGGCCTGTCCAAGGCATCTACAAACTGATCTCTCAGCAACAACTTGAGGACATCAGGTGGCACAGTTGGTTAGGCCTTATGTGCCATACTTTCCAAATCCTGTGCCAGCTCTTGCAGGCTCTCCCCTTTAGCATGGACTCTCGACCTAAACCTAGCCCTGTAGACTTTGGACTGATTTTGGGTTCCATACCTGAGTTCTAGAGCAGCTACCAGTGCTTTATAGTTGTGCCTGTCATCTGCTGACAACTGTCCAAGTATTTCTAGTGGTTGTCCCTTCAGGCTCGTTGCCAGGTGCACTGCCTTCTTCTCTGCCAGGAGCTTAAATTGTGCTTCCCATAGTGCCTTCCCATCGAATTCCTGTGGGTTCCTTCGTACTAGATCACCCCTATTGCTGATATTCATGTCTAGAATGTGACTTCTGACAGGACTGAAGATTTCTGCATTAGGGTTTAGCTGCAGTGTCTGGAAGGGGCTTCCCGATGTCTGCAGCTGATTAGGTCCATGGTTAATATATCATCAAGTGGTTTTCAACTCTGGACTTATAGTCAGGTTTCCATCAAGTGAAAGTGGCTGAAGCAGATAAACCTAAGACTGCATTTAGTTATAGCCTAGGTCTTTGGTAATACCGTGTGATGCCATTCGGGCTTAGCAATGCTCCAGCAACATTTGAGAGGCTGATGGAAAGAGTACTGGAAGGCCTACAATGGAGGATAGCCCTAGTGTACCTGGATGATGTCATTGTGTTTGCAACAATGTTTGATGTGGAAATGTACTGGCTGGAGGAAGTATTCAAGCATTTGAAAGCAGCAAACCTCAAACTCCATCCCAAGAAATGATACTTTGGTTGGGAACTTCGGTTGCCAGTAGACCTGATAACAGGACGCCCACCTTATGAAGATGCGTGATTG